GTAAGGCAACTGAGGAGAAGAAATACTGTATATCAGAGAGATAAATACAAATTCAGAAGAATGTTTTATAGGCAACGCAAAAGAAAACAGAAATAGAAAGAAGTGTAAGAAAAAAAAAAGTGGTCTTCTCACACAAATTAATGGAACCAGACAAAATTGGTACTCTGAAGAAGGAACAGCATCACGTGCATAAATGAAAGAAGAGAGGTTTATTGTAAAAGAGAATAAATTACTGAAAGACAGGTAATCGGGTGGCGGTCTAGTAATTCCCGAAGCAAGGTTCTTTACCTTACCTCCCCGCGAGACACCGTATAATCGGGGTCGGCTAGCTATCTATTCCTACAGACGAGACTCCGCCCCTCGGCATAGCCTCGTCTAGGTTCTTCTCTGTTCCAAAGCAGAGAATTCGACAAGCACAGCTGGAGACGAAACTCCAACTAATTGCCGAAGCAATGTTATTTACCTTACCTCCCCGCGAGGCAAAATGTGGCACAAGGCCGTTTTTTAATGCGGGGTAAAACGGAACCTGTAGGCTCGGGGAAAAATTACCCGTAGACTCCGTATACACGGGGTCGGTTAGCTGTCTACCACCGCAGACGAGGCTCTGCCCTTCGCCAAGGCCTCGTCTGGGTTCCTCTCCGTCCGAAGGCAGAGAGTTCGACCAGCTCAGCTGGAGACGAATCTCTAACTAATTACCAAAGGAACGATATTTCCCAACTGCCCCACGCGGTCAGATGTGACACAAGGCCGAATTTAACGTGGGGCATCCGAGCCGGTAGGCTCGGTCAAAAATTCCCCGTAGACCCCGTAAAATCGAGGTCAGGTAGCTGTCTACCACCCAGACAAGACTCTACTCTTCGGCATTGCCTCGTCTGGGTTCCTCTCTATCCGAAGGCCGAGAGTTCGACCAATTTAGCTGGAGACGCATCTCCAAATAATTGCCGAAGCAAAGTTATTTACCTTACCTCCCCTCACCTTGGGTCGGGCAAAATTTCCCCGTAGTCCCCGTATACACGGGGTCGGGTAACTGTCTACCACCCCAGACGAGACTCTGCCTTTCGACTGAGCCTCGTCTGGGTCTTTCGCTGCCCGACCAGCTTAGATGAAGACAAATCTCCAATTGCCTAAGCAAGATTATTTACCTTATCTCCCCGCTAGGATGGATATGGCACAAGGCCGTTTTTAATGTGGGGTTAAACCGAGTCCGTTGGCTCGGGCAAAACTTCCACGTAGACCCCGTATAAAACGGGGTCAGGTTGATATCTACCAACCTAGCCGAGATCTCCAACTAACTGTCGAAGCATGCCCCAGGTATATTCTGTGCTCACTATATATAGCTACTGATATAGTCAGTCCACATAGCCAATATGGAGTGTGGCACATTGCATTAAAACACCCCCAACCCGAGCTAATTTTTTAATGAAATTTTGCGCAATACTCTCTTGCGGTGCAGGACATAATTGTTTGACTTTTTCCTCTTCATAGTACTTTTCCGTTTCACCAGCACAAAAAATATGGATGTCAGCGAGGGAAAAATGCCATAGGGAAACACGAATGAGTATGTCAACATAAAAAAAAAATCAGAAGTTTAAATACCTTCTTTAAATCGTTTCCGCATCCCCAAAAGAGCGATAACGCCACTAGCGTGCAGGGGGTTACAGGGAGTTAAAGGTTACAGGGAGTGAAAGGACAATAAAAGAACAGCGGTAAAAAAGACAGACGATGGTGATTGACGTTGCCTTTAAAGTTTCGAAGTTTGTAGTTGACAGGGAAGCAAGAAATCGGAAGGGAGTTCTTCAGGTGATGAGTGCGAGAAAAGAAACTGTCAGAATAGAAGTGACGGTTGCACTAACGCAAAACTGAGATATTAGGTTGGTGCAAAAATAATGTCATTTTGTGACGTATTTTTTAACGTCAAAAAACGACATTATTACGTCATTATCTTTGCACCAACCTAATACCTAGATGCCAACCAAGTAGCACGGTTAAAATCATGTAGTCGAGGCACCAAGGAAAAAAAAGCTCATCAGAACTCTTACCATGAAAATATTTGTAGGAAAGACAGAGGGAATCCACGTGACGTCGGTGAGAAAGTGATTGGAGTCAAGATGCCTGATGAAGATCGATTACATTATAGGAAATGTTTAATTTGATTTGTTAATTTTGTTTAGCGGCATATCAGTTTCTATGGATTATTTAATGCCGAAATCTACATATTTTGAACACAATCTTATGGCTTCATATACAGTTGGTAATTCTGCTATAAATAGTTCCATTTCCTGTTAGGTTCGTTATATTCACTCACACGCAAATACTCTTGGGAAAGGGATAAATCTACATCTTCTCCCCCAGCTAGGGATTAAGTAGTAAATCTTGTGCAAATAAAAGCATTATTATTTAGATTTAGACATTAAATAATCCACAGAGGTGTTGATATGCCGTTAAACAAAAACAACAAAATTATTAATATAAAAGTTTTATTTCCCGGGTACTCATGTTTCCCTTGGTATCACTGTTTAGTTTTTTAATCATTGAAATTACTGTCTACCGGCCTAGTGATCAAAGTTGTTAATAAAGGAAAAGTCAAGAGGAAAATCAATATGAAACTTACATTTTAATGCTAAACGTGGTTGATTAGCTGTCTCTCTCATTGAATGATATTAATGTCTACCACCCTATATATATATATATATATATATATATATATATATATATATATATATATATATATAATTATTTATTTAAAAATATGATTTAAATAAATAATTATACTTATGCTCTACTTTTGTATCGAGCACTATTTTTTTAAAATAATAACAAAAATACTAAAGAACTTTGGATTATTTACCTAAAGAGATCATTCCTATGTTCTATATATTTTTGCACACACACACACACACACATACATATATATATATATATATATATATATATATATATATATATATATATATATATATATGTTCAAAGACAGAGAGAGAGAGAGAGAGAGAGAGAGAGAGAGATTATAAAAGAAAGACTGGCGAAGAAAGGGAAAAACCAGGTTATATCATTTTAACTTAAGAAAATAACAAAAATCAAAAAAAGTAAACTATGAAGCGATCTGCTCTCAGGTGGTAGTAAGATAGGAAACCACGACTGAATAGACAGGAGATTTTTAAAGAAGTCTTTCCTTCCCGATGCCGCCATGTTACTCAATGTCACCGGATGCCTGCGTTTGAGGTTGTCCAATAAGGTGCTTGATTACATTGTTACACTGTTAGAATGACGCCCCCTGGAAACTGAATCTTGCGGTCCTAAAGGAAATCTTCAATAAAGAAAAAGAAAGAAAGAAAGAAAGGAAATAAACAAATAAAATAATCTGAGAACGAAATAAAAGAGGAAAAATTGAAAAATCAAGTTGAGGTAATTGTAGCGAAAGGGTGAGTGTAGCAAAGAGATTGTGAAAGCCGAAGGATGAGTTTGAGAAAGTTTACGACGGAATTAAGCAGAAAAGAACGCTGGAGGGTCGTCGTCAGTCATTTTTCTCCATTGATGCTGAGTCGATGAAACAGGCCAAATTGCACATGTCTATTTGAGCCTATGGATAAATTTTAGGACAAACACACAAACACGTATATATATATATATATATATATATATATATATATATATATATATATATATATATATATATATACATACATGCACACGCATGAAGACATATGCACACATACAAACACACGCACAAACACATACACTCATATATATATGTATATGTGTCCGTGTATGTGATGCATATGTGTATATACCAATCCTATTCAAAAAAGCATGTAGTTACTTCCTTCTTTACCTCCCACGCTCTTTATATATATATATATATATATATATATATATATATATATATATATATGTGTGTGTGTGTGTGTGTGTGTGTGTGTGTGTGTGTGTGTTTGTGTGTGTGTGTGTTGGGTGGTGTATGTTCGTGTGTACACAAATGTTGATTTTTTCATACATATATAATACCTTCCGATGTGAGTGTGTGCGTGTGTGTGTGTGCGTGTGTGTGTGTATGTGTGTGTGTGTGTGAGTGTGTGCGCGCACATGGGTGCGTATACAGGTGTGTGAACCCAAATCTTTGTACATAGATATTTCCTTACTCTATCATTCTCTTTCTTCTTTTTCAGTTTTTATCTTTATTCTTTCGTCTATTTGTTTCTGTCCACTCTCTCTCTTTATTCACACACACACACACACACACACACACACACACACACACACACACACACACACATATATATATATATGTGTGTGTGTGTGTATTGGAGTAAGTCACAAGGTTATGTTTTATATCAAATAATCTAGATAGATACGTAAAAGTATATATATGCATATATATAGACACACACACATCAACACACACATATATATGTGTGCGTGTGCATTTGTTCATGTTCAAATATTTATACGGGCATCCAAGTTGATACATATCATAAGGTAAAGCATAAATTTATACATATTTACACGTATTACGTGTACCCACAAATGTCTATATGAGAGAACGCAATCAATAAATTATGAAGGTAGGTAGATATAGATATATGAAAAACTGCAATGGTGGATGAAATTAAAGGATCATTAAATCGACGTATATTAAACATAAGATAAATATCCGAGTTAAGAATTTCAATCAAGCAGTCAATAAAATGATGGAAATGAACAAAGCAAATTAAATGTTACAATTATAAAGGAACGAATTCGAAGAAAACCCAAAGAACAAATATAATGAAATAATTCTCTACTAAAAAGAAATAAATTATGACGAAATAAGAGAAAGGGGGCTTTTGAAGAGACAAGTAATACAAGAATGTATTGAGACAGCAAATGAAATGTGTTTGAAAGATGAAACCGAGGTACCATCCGAGAAGATCTGAAATATACAAACAAAAGTGAAAATCTTAAGAACAATAACAAAAAGAAAAAATGATTGAAAGAAAAAGATTGAGAGAAAATTATACAGATTAAAGAAAGAATAGAAAAAAAGAGGAAGTGGATATGAGAAAGAAAGAAAGAAAGAAAGAAAGAAAGAAAGACAACACGAATGAGGTACAAGAAGAATGACAAAAATGAGTGAGAGTCAAAGAATTCAAGTTACAATTGAATCTGAGAAAGGGGGATGGCAAACGCTTGATCGACAGAAAGATAGAAAGAATGAAAGAAAAAAAGATGAAAGGAAAAAGAAAGAAATAAGAATGAAAGAAAGAAATATGAACGCAGAAAGAAAGAAAGAAAGAACGCTGAACACAAAAAGAAAGAAAGAAAGAAAGATAAAAGCAGAAATAAATAAAGAACGATGAAAGAAGAAAGAAAGAAAGAAGAAAGAAAGATGAAAGTAGAAGGAAAGAAGGAACGAAAGAAAGAAAGAAAGAAAGAGAGAAGGAAAGAAAAAAAGTAGGAAAGAAATATGAAAGCAGAAGGAAAGAAATATGAAAGCAGAAGGAAAGAAAGAAAGAAAGAAAGAAAGAAGGAAAGAAAGATGAAGGAAGGAAATAAAGAACGATGAAAGCAGAAAGAAAGGAAGAAAGAAAGAAGGAAAGAATGATTAAAGCAGAAGGGAAGAAGGAACGAAAGAAAGAAAGAAAGAAAGAAAGAAAGAAAGAAAGAAAGAAGTAAGGAAAGAAAGAAGGAAAGAAGGAACGAAAGAAAGAAGGAAAGAAGTAAGGGAAGAAAGAAGGAGAGAAAGAAAGAAAGAAAGAAAGAAAGAAGAGAAGAAAAATGAAAGCAGAAAGAATGGAAGAAAGAAAAAAGAAAGAAAAATTAACGCAGAAAGAAAGAAAGAAGGAAAGACAGAAAAAAGAAAGCAGAAAGAAGAAAAGAAAGTAATAAAGAAAAATGAAAGCAGAAAGAAAGTTAAAAGAAAAAAGATGAAAGAAAGAAAGAAGGAAAGAAAGAAGGAAAGAAAGAAGGAAAGAAAGAATGAAGGCAAGAAGGAATGAAAGATGAAAGCAGAAAGAAAGGAGGAAAGAAATATAGATGAAAAGAGAGGAAAGGAAGATGCAAGCAGAAAGAAAGAAAGAAGTAATGAAAGCAGAAAGAAAGAAAGAAGTAAAGAACGAAAGATGAAAGCAGAAAGAAAAAAAGAGAGATGAAAACAGAAGGAAAGAATGAACGCCGAGGAAGAACAATCTAATAAATAAATATACAACGAGGCCCGACATAAATAAATATAGACGTATTACAATGAAAACTGAAAGGGAAAAGCGACTAAAATCTTCAGTGGAGTACAGCATAAATAAAAAAGAAAAGAAAGACAACTGAGAGAGAAAAGAGATAACCCTGAGAGAGAGAGAGAGAGAGAGAGAGAGAGAGAGAGAGAGAGAGAAAAAAAAAAAAAAGAAAAAAGAAAAGAAAGGAAAACTGAAAGAGAAGGGAAAATAAAAGTAACTCGGAACTGACGAAAAAAAAACACGGAACGAACGAATGAATGAAAGAATGAACGAAAGAAAGGAAAGAGGAAAGGAAGAAAAGAAAGATAACAGAGAGAGAAAGAAAGATAACAAAGAAAGAAAGACAATCCAGAAAGAAAGAAAGAAAGAAAGAAAGAAAGAAAGAAAAGGCATAAAAATGACAACCAACCATAGAGAATAGCATACATGCCACAGGCAGCGTATAACTTCTGTCGAAGGTTGTAAGTGAAATCAGCGACAAATCAGACGAACCGGCCATTCTATGTTCCAAAGCGTCCTGTTCATCTTTTCAATATCCTTAAATTGGGAGACGTTCTTTAAAACATAATTGAATCGTCCATTGATAACAGAGTGGGGAGACAAGGTGGTACATTCTAGCCGTCGGTGAGAGGCCGGTTGTGCAGTTACTTCTCGTTTTCCACCTTCTTCATCTTCTGCCTGGGTGGCCTCGTGCTTTACGGGGAATGATTTTACTTTATTTCTTGATGTTGTTATTATTTTGTCCTCATGTCCCAATGGGGGACGAAAACTAGGATGACAAGGCACTTAGTTCGGCGCTTTACTTATTTCTTTAGACATTTGATCTTTTCCCTAACATAAATGACTCCGATTTTAATATGACGTTTCTCAACCTCAAAATACGAATGTTGATGGTATAGCAGTAGAAGAATCATCTTCACGCCAATAACAAATCATTATTTTAACTTGGTAAAATGAAGTCTGACATGAAAGTTCGAAGGAAGCAGAGACATGCACCTGAATTTCTGCATGAAGAAAAGAAATACAAAACGTGTGTTCACTTGCTATGGATGAATAGATATTAGCATTACCTATGTTAAACTCCAGGAAAGTAACTCGTTACGCCTTCATGACAGCTGCCATGTAGTGGAAAGACCATATTGAATCTATTGCTAGGTCAGCTGTTAAGACAGTTGGTTCATTGTGTCATGCGAAACAATTTTTCTTTCCAGAATCTTTCTTTCATATCTATAAGTCTACCAATCGTCCATGCTTAGAATATTGCTACCACATATGATCCGGTATCCCTGTTATTTACCTTGAGCTCCTTGTTAAGATCCAAAGATGAATCAGCAATATTTTCGGTCCTGATCTGGCTGTTTGGCTTCAGTCACTTACTCACCGCCGTAATGTTGCCTCTCTGTGGATTTTCTATAAATACTTTCATGGTAATTGTTCGGTTGAGCTTTTCATTGTGGTAACTAGTCTTTATGAATTTAAGCGCAGTACTTGACTGGCATCGAGATCTCATCAGTTTACAGTTGAGCTGGCTAGATGTAGCCGTAAGTTTTATGCTAACAGTTTCTTTTCTCGCACTCCTCACTTGGGAACTCCCTTCCGGTTTCATGCCTTCCAGTCAACTTTAATCTTCCAAAAATTAAATGCAGTGTTAATCACTATCTACTGTCATCCTGATTACTCCTTTGTCTTTCCGCTCATTATTGCAGTTTCTTTTCCTAATTTCCCTCCACACTGTAACGACAAAGCGTTACAGGGTGGAGGAAAATATGAAAACAGAAGGAAAGAAATATGAAAGCAGAAAGAAAGGAAGAAAGAAAGAAAGAAGGAACGAAAGAAAGAAAGAAAGAAGTAAGGAAAGAAAGAAGGAAAGAAGGAACGAAAGAAAGAAAGAAAGAAAGAAAGAAAGAAAGAAAGAAGTAAGGAAAGAAAGAAGGAATGAAAAAAATCAAGAAAGAAAGAAGGGAAGAAAGAAAAATGAACGCAGAAAGAAAGAAAGAAGGAAAGAAAGACGAAAGCAGAAAGAAGAAAAGAAAGTAATAAAGAAAAATTAAAGCAGAAAGAAAGTTAAAAGAAGAAAGAAAAAAGATGAAAGAAAGAAAGAAGGAAAAAAAGAATGAAGGCAAGAAGGAATGAAAGATGAAAGCAGAAAGAAAGGAGGAAAGAAATATAGATGAAAAGAGAGGAAAGGAAGATGCAAGCAGAAAGAAAGAAAGAAGGAATGAAAGCAAAATAATGAAAGCAGAAAGAAAGAAAGAAAGAAGTAAAGAACGAAAGATGAAAGCAGAAAGAGAAAAGAGAGATGAAAACAGAAAAAACGTTTCAGTGGCTTTATTTACTTGGGGTAATACCAATAAAAAATGATCTTACATATTCAAATGTATTTTAATACGTACACCTTGCTTTTTTAAATAAATTTTATTGATTGTGGGTTTCCGTTGATTGATTTAGAAGTGCCTTTCAAATTTTAAATGGAATCGGTCTAACAGAATTCAAATTCCGATAGAGGCTGTTAAATTCACTTCACATTCTTCTTCTTCTATGTGCCAGGTTCATTCAGGACATAGGCGATCATGACTCTCCTTGACTACCTATCCCTTGTTGCTCTTACCAGTTTTTCTCCCTTTGCTAAGTCACCCGCCAATCTATCCATTCACACAAACTCGTTAGGTAGGTGGCCCGCTTCTTTCTATCGTTCTTGCCCTTGATATGGACGGTGAGAGTTAACTTTCCAAACCCTCCTTCGTAATTATGTATCCAAAAGATTCCAGCTATCTTATCCTGTTTCTTAGTTGATATGTTCTTTCTGCTGCTATTTTCTTTAAGACTTCCTTGTTGCTTGCTCCGTCCATGGCAATTTAATAAAAAGCAGCAATAACACTTTTACTTCTGAATAACCTCGTTGGACAGAATTAACTTTTTTCGTTCATCTTTAGCAGAACAGATAGTATGAAAGGTTAACTCTAAATTCTGGAAAACAATCCAATATCTGACTGAAGAATAGTATTAGTGATATTAAAGACAAAGTAGCCAAGCAATTAAGAGATAGGATCATTTATCTCCTTAAGAAACAGGAACATTTTTTGTTGATTTTATTGGTAATTATTTTACTCGCAGTACCCTAAATATTTCACAGATCCACTATTTGTATTTTCTAACGAAACATAATTCTTAATTTTCATTGAATAAGCTATAAGTGGGTTCCATCATTATAAAATACCCGTGGAAATCTTTCTATTGCATTTGTTAAATATTTGAGCTTAACAATTTGTAATAACAAACATAATTATAAATGTAGCTTATTATTTAAAGATGTCAGATGGTACAGTGTGACCCGGATATAAGAGAAACCCGGATATAAGAGAGATTTTCTCTGGTCCCAAATTAGAGCCATACTTACCTAAACAAAATAGACCAAACCCGGATATAAGAGAAACCCGGATATAAGAGACTTCTTCTCCGGTCCCGACAACTCTCTTATATCCGGGTTACACTGTATATATGAAAATATTGAAATTGATAAATTTTTCCATATTACTAAAGAAAACATAGGTGCCTTATCGCCTTCTGTTTTATATCTCTCTATTTTTCTTTCTTTCTTTTTTTTTTCTCACTGAAACCAAACGGCGGCTTTGATATGTCATTTCGGTCTTTACTCGTGATCAAAATGGTATTAAACTTAATTCTTTTGTTAACGATTGAATAATTTCATGAACGAATTTTACGACAGTACAATAACCGCTGAAGTTCCCCTATCGCATCATTAGATATTTGAACTTAACTTTAACAAAATATAG